CACTTAGAAAGTTTGTGCACCAGGCCTCCTACCACACCTGGGGTGAAGAAGCTGTGCTCTCTCTTAAAGTCCAGTTTCGAGAGTCGGAGCTAATGTGTATCTTTACCTGAGCCTGAGTTGAATTTCTCTTATCTCATCCAAGAACCCAGAGAAGAAACCCAGATATACCGAGCCACAGACTGAAGAGCTGAATTCCATTCCAAGCTCCTCTAATGCTAAAGCTTTCACTTGTCCACTAAAATTCAGCCAAGAAAGGCTGGTGATTTGGTTTCAATCTTGATTCATATGCCTACCTGCTGAGATGGCTCCTCTTGTTGCTTTGCTGCCAGGGCCTACAGCCCCTAGCCCCATTCTTAAATTTTGTGACAAGACTTCTCTAAGTCACTCAGCTGCACAGGCTGGGTTTGAACTTGTGATCCTCCTGCCTCAGCCTCCCAGACTGCTGGGATTACAGGCCTGCGCAGCTGTGACTGGCTGAGATGGCTTCTCTCTCCTTTGTACTACGTTTGTCCTTGGCTTTTTTTTTGGTACCGGGGACTGAACTCAGGACCCTGAACTTGCGAGGCAGGCGGTAGAACCACTAAGCTAAATCCCCAGCCCTGTCCTGTGTGCTACTTTTATTGCCTAGGATTTTTCCTCTCTTTGGCTGGCAAACTCCAGCTTGTTTCAGGCCACAGCTGAAAGAAATGTCACCTCCTCCCCATCTCACGCCCAGACTGGCCTTCAATGCTTGGTTAACACAGCAAGCATGTCAGTGTTAGCTCATTCATGGCAGTCTGTAACTTTCTTTCACTGCTTTTATCACAATTCTAGGTGATTAATCACTGCTTAACACTTTAAAAAAATAACTCACCTCAGCCAGGCATGGTGACACATGCCTGGAATCCTACCCCTTGGGAGGCTGAGGCAGGAGGATTGCTGTGTGTTTGAAGCTAGCTTGGGCTACCTAGTGAGTTCAAGGCCAGCCTGAACCATATAGGAAGACCCTGTCTCAAAACCAAACCAAAGCAAACCCAAAAAACTTGTCTCTAAATGCCATAAGGGCACAAGTATGGCTATTTTGCTCAGAAATGGATCCTTGGAAAAGTGGTTGTCACTTAGTATGCAACAATAAGCATCTGATAAAAGAATGAACAAACGTGGGCCGGGGATTTAGCTCAGTGGTTCCAGTGCCTGCCTTGAAAGCACAAGGTCCCGAGTTTGATCCCAGGTACCAAAAAAAAAAAAAAAGAATGAACAAACGGTGCTTCCTGTGGTAATGAGCGTGAAACACAATTTGCAGGAAGCCACTGGTTTGGCTGAGCTCCCGTGCTAAGCCCTACACCAGATCAAAGTGGAGTCACTCACACTGAAGTCCAGGTCACCAAGGCGAAATAAGCTGTTTACCTGATGTTCTGAGGAGCCAGGAGAGTGGGCGGAGCCAAGTTCCCCACAGACCAGTTTCAGCTGTGTAAGGAAGTCTACCTTGGTTAACCTCTATAGGAAAAGTAACTTTGAAATGATCAGTCTGCTTTTTGTTTTCTGTTTCTGCTTCCCTCGGTTTCCTCTCTTGTCTATAACATCAACCTTTTCTGATCTCTCCTCATTGGAACACTCTTGCTTTATGACATGAGGTGTTGTCTGATTCTAGTAACTCAAACAAAACCAATTACGATCTTTAAACTATTTCCTGTGATTCTGTCTTCTGACATGCGCTATGTCAGTGGTTTTCCAGATGTGGTCTGTGGACCGGCAGCAGCAGCATCACTTGCTAGAAATGCAGTCAGGCCCCATCCAGGTCCACGGAATGAGAAACCCTGTTGGGGCTGTGTAGTCCCTGTTAAACACACCTCCAGGTGGCTCTGATTCACACACAGCTTGAGCACCATTGGGTTGCTCCAATCTACGCAGCAGGTGCAACCTTGGGCTCAACATCAACTGCTTAGGATTGCTTCTTGACACTATTTATTTATTTATTTATTTATT